GTGACTCCTTTCACTGAGGTATGATGGCTGGAAGGAAGGCCAGGATTGAAAAGAAGGACCGAGAGACTTGCACCTGTGCTAGCAACAGGCTGTTTTCTTGTTCCTCCATAGTCATGATTACCCAGGACTCCTCGATGGAGATGATGGTCCGGCCAGAGGGAGAAGGCAGACCATGCCCCAAGCCCTCTCATTCCGAGACAGGGTTTCTCTATGCAGTTCAGTCTGGCTTGAGCTCACTGTGTAGCCCAGGCTGGCCTGGAGCTCAAAGTATTTCTCCTGCCTCAGCCTCCCAGATGCTAGGATTATAGGCATGTGCCGCCACACCCAGAATCTATTTTTTAAAAAACAAATTCATTTTTAAGCATCCAACAGGCTCCAAGATACTACTTCATTCTAGTTGTAGGTGGCTAAAAGATGTTATGGCAGGAAATGCACATGTTTAAATAGCAGTTACTATCAAGATTCATGCTCTCTGGTGCAAGAACAGTGTTTTCTTTGTTGTTGCTGTTTTTTGTTTTTTGTTTTTTTCATTTTTCAGTGCTGAGGATCAAAACGCACCTGCTGAACCACAGATCCAGAGGGCACAGCTTGCTCTTTTGAAACACTCCTTGCTTCTGATAGGGCAAGAGAGGCTCGATTTTCTTTTTTAACTCTGTGTTAAGGGAAGTTACTTAAGTTCACTTAAGCTGTAGTTGACCCCACTCTTCACCTCCTCCCCTTGGTTAGCTATCAACCCACTTAAAGGAGAGCAGGCAGGCGCTTGTGCCACTGAGCTATATCCCCAGCCCTAAAGGACAGCAGAGGCATAAAATGGGAACAGAAAAAACAGGACAAATTGGGAAGTAGGCTGAAAGGTAAACTGCAATGGTCATCTGGAATCTGGCTCTCTGACAGCTTCTGGGAAAGGTAAACTTTGTGAAAATTGTGTGATATTCTTGTAAGATTCTCAAAAATGAGGTAATGGTTACTATGGAAACCTAAAAATGTACTTAAGGGCTGGGGACATAGCTCAGATTGTGAGTTCAATTCTTGGTACCAAAAAAATGTACTTAAACCAAAGGTAAGATCCAGATTGGCACAGACATCTTCTCTGACTCCTGGTCAGAGACTGTCCATCAGCCGGCTCAATAAAGCTTTGTTCGTTCCTGCCTTTTCCGTTTTCTTGTGAGTGCCTGTCTCACTTGCTGTATCACTTCCAGTGCTGGAGTCTCCACACAGAGATGCATCCCTGGTTCTGTTAAATTTGGAGATAATCTGGCTAAATCCCTAAATTGCCCAGGGTGGGATCCAAGATGTGCCACATTGCCTGGCTAATTTTTGTTTTGTTTTGTTGAGACCAGGGTCTCACTGTGTGATTCAGGGTGACCTTGACCTCTCTCTGTAGCTCAGGCTGGTGTTGTAATACTTCTCCTGCTCTAGCCCCTCCCCACATGGTGGGATTATAGGCATGACCCACCATACCTGGCTTGAGCACATTTATGCTTAAAAAGCTTCGTATATGAAGAAGTCTAAAAGGATATAAACAAAATTATTTTTTAAAGCATAATACTATTTGTAAGATAAAATTACTAGTAAGAGTCAATGCACATAAAACAGTATGTGCTACACACTTGGCTGATTTTATTTTATATATATTATCTCATTTGATCCTTTCATATCTCATTTGAACCTTTGCATAAGGCCTTGTTCCTAATAATGCAGCAAATATGAGAGGTACCAGAACTTCAAAAGTCATGTTCTTAACCACCTGATCACTGTGTCTCAGGTATGAAGACCATTCATTGTGTGATCAGAAAAATCCATGAAATGTTTTAAGAACGTTCTGCTCAAAAATTCTCTTGTCCAGTTCTCTTTATATATTTTTAAAGAGAAAAAAATTTTCAAACCAAGACAATAGGAGGGGAACAATGGCTACTACATTGCCTATTGTTATTTATTTATTTATTTATATTTTTGAGGCAGAGTTTCACTATGCAGTTTAGGTTGGCCTTAAACTCACTTTGAAGCCCATGCTGGTCTCAAACTTGAGGCAACCCTCCTGCTTCAGCCTCCTGAGGGCTGGGATTACAGGGGTGCACCACCACACCCAGCACATGTTGTTATCTTTAAATTAGTTACTCAGAGTACATCAGCATTTAACTGTCCAAACAATATTAGCATAAACCTTTCCTTTCAATGAACTAAGAGAAATTAGCAGTATAACTATCTTAACTATCATATATATATATATTTTTAAATTTTTTTTTTGGCTTTTCCCTTCCTTCTTTTCTCCATTCCCGCATCCCAGTTTCTCTTTCCGTTTGAAGTTTCTTCCCATTTTACAATATTATTGTACATTTTCAATCTTATTTACTCTTTCAGCTTCTCACACTAGGGAGATAATATGATGTCTACACATGTGCATCTGGTTTATTTCACTTATATAGTCTTGAGTTGCATCCATTTACCTATAGAAGTTTCTAGCTTATCCTTCTTTATGGCTGAGTAGCGCTCCGTTGTATAAAAAGACTACTTTTTAATTCATTCCTCTGTTGATGGACGTTTGGGTTGTTTCCAAGATCTAGCTATGACAAATTGTGCTGCTATGAACATGGGTACATTGTAACACCATGATATGATTTTTAAATTTTTCTGGAAAGATATCCAGCAGGGGAATATCTGAGTCAAATGGGACCTCCAATTCTAGTTTTTGAGGAATCTCCACACTGATTTCCACAGTGGTTGCACCAGTCTACACTGCAACCAACAGTGGAAAAGCGTTCCTTTTCCCCCACAGCCCCTCCAGCATTTGTTATTGGTTCACTTCTTGATGATAGCCATTCTCTCTGGGGTGAGATGGAATCTCAGTGCTGTTTTAATTTGCATTTCTCTTTTGTTTGTTTGTTGTTTGTCTTTTTTGAGAAAGGGTCTCAATATGCAGTTCAAGCTGGCCTTGAGCTCACTTTGTAGCCCAGGCTGGTCTTGAACTCCCAAGGATCCTCCTGCCTCAGCCTCCCAAGTGCTGGGATTACAGGCATGCGCCACCATGCCCAGCTTTGCATTTCTCTAATGGTCAGTGATGTTGAACATTTTTTCATCTATTTATTTGCTGTTTGTATTTCTTTATCTGAGAAGCATGTGTTCATCTCAGATGCTCATTTTTAGGTTGGGTCTTTGAATTTGGGAGCTCTGACTGTTTTTGAGTTTTTATATGCTCTTAGATAGTAATTCTTTGAATGAGGAACAGCTGGCAAACATTTTTTCCCATCTTGTGGGTTATCTTTTTACACTGTTGGTTTCTCTTGCTGTGCAAAAGCTTTTTAGTAAGATGAGATCCCAGTTGGTGATTCTTTGTGATACTCTTTATAATTCTTATAATCCTTTGTTTTTGTTTGTTGAGACAGGGCTTTGCTGTTCTGTTCAGGCTGGCCTTGTGCTCACTATGTAGCCCACGTTGGCCTGAAACTCAGAGGGATCCTCCTGCCTCAGCTTCCCAAGTGCTGAGCTTACCAGTACGTCCTACCACACCTGGCTCTTCTCATAGCATCTGAGGGGTCTATTTGTAGACTCTTATACACCCTATGTTCTTGTAAGCCAGAAACCAAGCCCACTTTATTTTTCAGTTTCTATAGGGAGCATTTTGGGCAACAGGCACTCTTATCTTGGCGTGTGAAACAGACCAACCTTAAACTTGAGGATAAGCATTCATGCAATATTAAGAATTTCTTGGACCAGGGATATAGCTCAGTGGCACAGTGCCTGCCTGGAAAACACGAGGTCCTGAGTTTGATTCCTGACACCAAAAAAAAAAATTTTTTTTTCAAGAAATGTATACGTGGGGTTGAGGGCAGTGGCTCAGGCCTGCAGTCGCAGCTTCAGAGACTTGCGAGGTGGCAGGAGGATCGGGAATTCACCCGAGCCTGGGCACTTTAGGGGGACCCTGTCTCAAAATAAAAAGGGCTGGAATGTGACTCGATGGTCGAGCACTTGCCCAGCACGAGGGAGGCCCTGGGTTCGAGCTCCACAACGCAAAAACAGAGAAAAACCAAATGCACACGGCAGCGACCAAGGTCTCTGCCACTTCCTCCACACCGTCTTTCCCTGTGCCTTCTTCCTCCCATCAGCCGCGCGAGCCCTCTGCTCCCCGCCCGCCGGCGGCCGAACACCAGCCAGGGCCCGGCCGCGCGCGGGGGCGGGGGAAGAGGCGGACTCCCCGCGGCTCCCGGCGCTCCCCGCGCCAGCACCCAGTTTCCGCTCGGCGGTCGCCATCTTGTGTCCTGGCGAAGGCGGGCGGGGGAACCGAGGATCTGCTGCCCGCACTGAAGATGGCGGGCGCGGGTGGGCGTGGCTAGGGTGCCCCGGAGCGTGCGGGTCCATGTCGGCGACCGCGGAACCCAGGCGGGAGGACCCAGCGACGGAGGAGGAAGAAGAGGAGGAGGAGGAGGAGGCAGTAAGCGTTGAGGGGCAGCGCTCGCGGCGCGGCGGGGCCGCCCGGGGGAG